TATTTAAACACAAACTTGATTCCCATTTGCTGAGAAATTGTGGCAGATATAAAGAACAAAGTGTCAATAGCAGCACCTTGCAACTGGCTCACACTTATCGCTTATGTTAAGCCTACATTTGTATATTTGTATTATGTACTATTGTTACGGTGGACCTATTTTTCGATTTTCGGTTATGAATAGGGAGCTCAAGAGCGACAAACCTTCTTCCCTTAATAAAAGTACTTAAAGTGACTTATATTGACTTCAGCAAGGCATTCGACAGGGTTCCACACAGAGGAGTGATAACAAAACTGCATGAAATAGGTTGGACTAGAAATCTACTGAAATGGTCAGCAAAGCTTCTTTCAGGCAGGCGCAACGTGTTTGTATCACAGACGCGAAATCAGAATGGAAAACCTTTCCAGTGGGATTCTGCAGGGGAACGTTCTGGGTCCCATTCTGTTCTTGATATATGTGAACGATTGCCTTGCTTGCCTCACCAGTGAGAAAATAATGTTTGCTGACAATCCGAAGATATGGAATTCGATCAACGCAAATGCAAATGCAAACGCCAATGCAACTAAGTAACGAAAAAGTTAAAAATGTACGACCATGAACGAAATTAGACAACAACCTTGGATCAACCAATGAGAGCTAGGGAGGAGCGAGTAACCAATTTGCAGGTGTTCGAAATATTGGCTCATTATTTTCGTACTTGGCTCCTTATTTCGTACTTCTTCCATTTGCGGAAGAAAAGAAATTGGGACTGATAGAATTTCTCGTATTTATCATCCGAAACTGCTTGCGTTTATACGTTTGAAATATTTTAAGGTAATAATCTTTATGCTGTATTTAACGGAATAATGGAATATCACTGCACGCGTGCAGTCATGCATTTAAGGATCGATCCTTAAATGCATTATCGTTAATGCTCAACTCGTCGCCCAAAAGTTCACCAAATACCCCTAGGACAAAGTCGTCCCTAGATATACCGAATCTAAAGCGCTTTAGTGTACGGACTTTGGCTTTTTTCCTGTTTTATATTTTCTCTATCCACTTTTCCCGTTGCCCTGCCATGGCAGTAAAGGGCGGATGGGTGAATAGGGAGAAATCCGGGGATGAAGAATTTTGTTTGACGAACTTTATTTACATTACAAGTTTTTCGAAATCTACTTCTTATCGATAAATTATTAATAAGCTTGTCCTCTGACAAAACAATAAATTTGGGGCTTAAATTGAGAAGAATGAAGGCGTCCCGCTGCGAAAACATTTGTAAGTTCCAAATTGATTGTTTTGTCAGAGAAAGAACGTCCTTTTTATCAGTAAATTAATTTACTGATAATAAGTAGATTTCAAAAAGTATGTACTCTAAATACAGTTCGTCAAAATATTATGTACTGCACTGTGCAAAATTCTTCATGCACGGATCCCCTCAGGTTTCCCCACATTCCTCCGTCCCCCTCTGCAGGCAGGGTAGTTAATCAAATACTCTAATGTTATTAGCAGGAAGAAAGTATTTTGCGAAGATATTGGCCTATGGTAATAATACACGTCTGCCTGAAGAATCAATTAGAATCAAAGTAGTATTTTTATGGATACTTTCGTGAGCCCGACGTAAGCAGGCAACTTGGGAGTTGGCAGTTCTTTGATACCGTTTACTCTAAGAACGATCGTCTAAACAAACGGGGTGGTTTTTCGATAAAGACAACATTATCATGAAGTAGAAGTTATTTCCCAGTCAAACTTCTTTATCTTATGCATTATTTCTGATTTAAGGTGCACCATGGTTCGTGAGCTGTTCAGTCGACTGCGTAAGTCTAAAAAGGAGGGAGAACTAGCCGCTGAGCGGCGCAAAAGATTCCACCATTGGCGTTCTCATAGCCGAGCCGTGGAGCTTACTGAGGAGAGAATGCGACAGAGTGTTACCACCAATAAGATTGAACCCTGGTTTGGCAGGCTCTTCGCCCCGCAAACTGAACAGGCTACTGCCCTATATCCATTCTCTGCCCAGACAGATCAGGAGGTATCTTTTAAGAAAGGAGATACTCTCATTGTGGAATTCCATCAAAGTGGGGCATGGTTGGAGGCAACAAATATGATAACAGAAAAGAGAGGCTTCATTCCCGCCAACTACATAACTCTGGAGCAAAATGTTTCGCAGGTCCTCGAGGCTTGGCAGGATATAAGTCGTCTAGAGGCGGAGTGGAAATTACTTATGTCTGGACTTCCGCCAGGCACTTTTATTTTACGGCCCAGTTCATGTAAGTTATGTGTTTTTTTTAACGGACAATATATTTGTCTCTCAAATGAGTGACCCTGATGACTATTATTCTCACATATTTGAGTCTGATTAGCAACTTTAACCAATTTTGCATTTAATTGCCAAGACAGGTAAAATACATTTTCAAACAAAACTAAAAGTACGCAGGATATACGTTGAGGACCAGATATTCAGTCTATTTACCGTGACTATAAAATCGGCTGAAGTAATAGACAAGAAGACATCCACATGGCCACCAATTAAGTTTGATAGTATACATTTCCGACCTTGAAAACGATATGTAAAATATATATTTTGAAGAATTGAATTCCTACGAAAATGCCGAAAGCTTTATTTTCTATATAAATGAGACTCTTTTCATAATTGTTAAAAGCACGCAGAAATTTAAAAGATAAGCTTAAGGTAGTAGAAAAATGAAGTAAGTTGGAGTTTTTCCCTAGGAAGCCAGGTACTATGTAATCGCACTAAAACACAATGGCCCAGGTTTATTAATTTCCTTGTCAATGGACGATAATTCAGACCTGCACCGAACTTAACGAAAATTGTTGACGTACATGGCGTCAGTTCGATCGCAGGCTCTGTCATCATTGGTTTGGCAGTTCAGGTTTCGCCTTGACTATTTGTGATAAGCTTGCTACGTAGGGTTTGTAGGCTGTAGGCAGGTTGATACGTCTAATGAATAAGCGGTCTTTCGTCAACGTAATTCGTGATTCAACGAACATAGCTTACCGTCTTGAGATGGGGCGAAACATTACACGGCTCTTTGGAAGGACAGGCGCCCAACATTTTCTATTAGGAATGCGTTGTTGATCTTCTATTGCGCCATCGCCAAACCAGTCATAAAGCGTGACGAAACGCAAAGTAAACGACCTTTGTGCTACGAACTGTGCAGATGACATCCTTACCTTTGAAGACGCATTGCTGATTTAGATACTTCAATAGTTAGACAGTAATTAAAGCTCAGTTGGTGTTCCATTTCTTCTTTGGACACATTTTCCGGAATTTTCGTAACCAGCACTGTCATTTATAGCAGTAGCAATTAACCTGTTTTTTAAACTAAGTAAGTAAGCCTGTCTTTCTTCTTTTTGTGCCTCAGGTTATCCAAATATCTGTAATAGCCAAAACCGATCGTCTATATAGATCATCTTACCTGTCATTAAGTGTTTCAAGCTGCTCACTATACAGTTTTTATGTCAGTATACATTCGAAACGGCGCATTTGATGATATCTTTATCTTTTTGAGATATACATGTAAACAGACCCCGAAAACCATGTGAGTACTTTAGTCACCTACGCCAGCAAAGAATGCATAAACTATTCTTGAAATACAAAGGATATCGAAGTGATCACACCAGCTGGCATTTTTATCAGCTGCTTCAGAACTCCGACTCAAGTGCAAGGGAAATAAAGATCCCAAGAATCAACTTTCACTTCGATCTGTACTACAGTGACCCAGGCGACTCTTCTGTGACTCTCTCGGAACAAAAACTTGCTTTTTAACAGTTGAATTGACTGTCAATCGTTTCAGTTTTTAGCCATAATCGTATGAGCTGTCGACTTTTTCTAGGAGAAACGTTAATTTTGTCCTCTCTTTATATTTTCTCATCAAGCGCCGTCACCAAAAGTTTCCTAAGACGGATATAAAAGCCTGCTATCGAAAACAACCCACACAAGCATCCCTCACCACATTGTTAGTAATTAATTTTACCTATG